ATAAATGAATAGTTTGACTTTTCCACTGATATCAGAGTGATACAAAATCTAAAATAAAAAGTAAAACTTCACACAAGTAAACAGGACAAAAGTGACAAGTTGACACAGAGTTCCTCTTTATATAAGGTCCTGTGGCCTAACAGCTATTATTACTTAAAACAGCTTAAATCTTTTGAATAACTTCTCCCAGTTGTACTTTCCTACAGCTAGTGAGAAATTGTGCATAATTAATTCTTCTTGATAGTGTAAATTAATCTAATAAATTTCTACTAAAATCTAGAGTTAAAAATCCTACAGCTGCCAGGCACCAGTGACTCATGCCTGTAATCCTAACTATTCAGGAGGCTGAGATCTGAGGATCAAGGTTCAAAGCCAGCCTGGGCAGGAAAGTCTATGGGATTCTTATCTCCAAAAAAACCACCAGAAAACCAGAAGTAGCACTGTGGCTCAAGTAGTAGAGTGCTAGCCTTGAGCTGAAGAGTTGAGGGACAGTGCCCAAGTCCAGAGCTCAAGCCCCAAGACTGACAAAAAATAAAAATAAAAAATAAAAAAAAATCCTACAGCTATTTTTTAAGCAATCTATTGCTTCACTTTATTTTTAAAATTGTTTAAGGATTACTCAATTTTTTTACCTGGTTAGGTAAAATTGGTATTAGCAATTCTCTACCCATAGTGTAAAAATGATTACATTAATGAGGGCCGACTGTGGCTCACAGATGTAATTCTAGCTACTCAGGAGGCTGAGATGTGAGGATCTTGGTTCAAAGCCAATCCTGTAGGAAAAACTGAAGAGATTTATATCTCCAATTAAACAGCAAAAACACAGAAATAGAGCTGTGGCTCAAGTGGTAGTGCACCAGCCTTGAGCAAAAAAGCCAAGCAAAAATGAGGCTCTGAGTTCAAGCTCCAGTACACATGTACATGTACACACACACACACACACACACACACACACACATAATTACTAAAAGGCAGTGTATTCAAATTATAGAGAACAAAAAATCATCAACACATGTTATTTCCTAATTTTTTCCATCAGTAATTTCAAGGAAACTTCTATGCTGGATCCTATTAGAGCAGAGTTTTAGAGCACCTATGAAGGCTCAAATATACATATTACAAATAAATGTATAAATAACACATACACACACATGTATTTTTGGATCCAATCATCTCAGATAATGCTTCAGTCCTTAACAGTGGGACCTAGACTTTAATGGGTTTTTTGTTTGTTTGTTTTTGTGCTGGCCCTACGGCTTGAACTCAGGGCCTGGGCATTGTCCCTAAAATTTTGTGCTGAAGGCTAGGTATAGTGTGTTTTAAGTTCTACAGGTGAAAAATGCTGCATGAATTTATTCCTAAAACTAGTATTCCTGAAGGAATGGCCTTTATAGTTCAGCCTATGACCAAGTTTTCACTGAGCTACAGTGAAATGAGACACAAACAAAGTGACCTTATCACATCTTTATCTTATAAATTGTTTTTCCCTTCCATCATCCTCTCATTTGGATGTTAAGGGAAAAAAAACTCCCTTGAACTCAAATCCCTTAGAAAGGCAAAGTCAAAGTTCAACAAAATGAATATCAGGAAGCAGGTTTTTGAAAGGGATGGGATGGAGTCAAAGAAAAAGGAGTAGATGAATGAAAAAGAAAGGGGGAGAATGAAGTCAAGAATTCTTGGTTGGGGGGGAATAGGGTTGTGGGGGGGGAGGATGGGATGCGAAGGGGAAACAAAGGAGGAGGCAACAATGCTTGATAAGAAATGTACTCATTATCTTGCCCATGCAATTGTAACCCCTCTGTACAGTATTTTCACAATTAAAAAAAAAGAATTCAATGTTAAGCCAGGTGCTGGTGACTCATGCCTATAATTTTAGCTACTCAGGAAGTTGAGATCTGAGAATTGTTGTTCAAAGCCAACCCAGGCAAGAAAGTCTATGAGACTTATATCTCCAATAAACCACCAGAAAACTGAAGTGGCGCTGTGGCTCAAGTGGTAGAGCATTTGCACTGAGCTGAAGAGTAGAGGGACAGCACCTAAGCCCAGAGTTCAAACCTCATGAACGACAAAAAAAAAAAAAAAGCAAAAAAAGCTGGGCACTGGTGGCACATGCCTTTAATCCTAGCTACTCAGGAGGCTGAGATCTTGAGATCTGAGGATCCCAGTTTGAAGCCAGCTGAGTCCCTGAGACTCTTATTGCCAATTAACTATTCAGAGAAGCCGGAAATGATGCTGAGGCTCAGTGGTAGAGCGCTAGCCTTAAGTACAAAGAGACTCAGGGACAGCACCCAGGCCCTGAGTTCCATCCCCAGGATTGGTTAAAAAAAAAGTAAAAGAAGATTTAACATGAAAATATCTCATTCTAGATGTGTTTTAATATTATATTACATATAGAAATAAGATGTTCAATGTACTATGCTAGTAAAACATATCATTTGCTGGGTGTAGGTGGCTTACACATGTAATCCTAGCTACTCAGAGGAGGCTGACATCTGATGATTGCAAATCGAAGCCAGTCCAGGCAGAAAAGTTTATGAGACTCTTATCTCCAATTAGCCACAAAAAGCTGGAAGTGGAGCTGTGGCTCAAGTGCTAGCCTTGAGCACAAAAGCTCAAGGGACAGTGTCCAGGCCCAAAATTCAAGCCTTAAGGATGGTAAAATAATAACAATAATAATAACTATTATTACTTTTTAAAACACATAAAAATTTAAAAATGTCTCCATTGGCATTAGTTTCTAGCTCAGCAATTAGTGTGCTTGTCTATTGTGTTCAGGACCCTAGGTTCGTACCCAGCATCTCAAAACAATTAAAATAGAAAGACTTGGTAAGTAAGAGGTGTAACACTTGGTAGACTGTTCTTGAAATAGTAAGGTTGTCCACCTCAGGAATCATCTGAAAGACTCTATTTCTCAACTTCTCTAACATGCACCCTCTTCTTGTTTTCTTTCTCTATGTGATCTTCAAGGCTTTCAGTCCCATTTTGTGTCAAATTCTGGTTCTTTTAAATTTTGTTTTAATTTGATTGATAAGTGTTGCTCAGTGGATCCATTGTGAGAAAAACTGTCTTTTCTATGAAGTGTGGTCCTTAAAAGTTCCTGTTGAAATGTAAATTGTTTCTTTATAGATAGAATTAAGATGCACCTCAGATTGTTCAAGAAATAGCAGAGGGTATGGGTGTATTTTGAGGCTATTTGTTAATCTTATTTCAATGTCACCTTACGTAAATACATTTTACCCAATTCAAACTAGCCAATCATGAGCAGACTGTGAACTGGAGCTCAACTAATCTGAGCAGAGGGGCAGGGCCTGCTGTGTTAAGGATAAACGGGAGCAGCCTTCCTGCTCTGTGTACTTGCTTGCCAGATTTTTGGATGATGGGACATCCTTCCCCAGAAATAAATTTTGTCTTGCTAAAACAACTCTTTATTTTTGTGTATATTGTTATGATTCCAATGGTTCTTGGACAGCATATTTATAACAACTTCTCTGGCTAAGTTTCATTCTCTAAATAAACTCTCCAAATATGAATTTCCTATAACTTCTGTATTGCCATAACATTTACCTTATTTACTTGAATCATGAAAGGCAATAATCATTTTGTTTTGTTTCTTTTTAAAAAAACAAAAGGAAAGGTAATATGTTTATCACAAAATTAAAACATGCAAAATTGCAAAGGAGAATATTTTAAATAAATCATAATTCTACAAATTAGGCATTAAGTATTGTTAATGTTTTGGTCACTCAATAAACACAGGAGTCATAACATACCAAACATAGCAAATATGTTATTGAATGTTTGAATATTATTAAATGCTTGCTTATGTATTTATTTATTTACATATTTATTTTACTTGAAGTACTGGGCAAGTGCTTTTAGCACTTGTTCTCAGCCAAGTTCTTATCTCTTAAATGCACTTAAAAAAACAATTGAATGTTTTTGTTTACTTATTTGTTTGTTTGTGATATTAGGGCTTGAGCTCCAGGTCTTACACTTATTAGTCAAGTGCTCTGCCACTTAAGCCACATGTTTAGCTTGTTTTGTTGTAGTTATTTATTTATTTTTTTGTCAGTCATGAGGTTTGGACTCAGCCTGAGCACTGTCCCTGAGCTCTTCAAGCTCAAGGCGAGAGTTCTACCACTTGAGCCACAGCGCCACTTGCTTTTTTTTTTTTTTTTTGTGGTTTATTGGAGATTAGAATTTCACAGCCTTTTCTACCTGGGCTGATTTTGAACCGTGATCCTCAGATCTCTGCCTCCTGAATAGCTAGGATTACAGCTGTGAGCCACTGGTACCTTGCTGCTGTATTTTTTAGAGATAGTCTTATGTTTTTTCCTAGGTTAGGCTGGACCACAATTCTCTTCCCTACATTTCCTATGAAACTGGAACCAGTGATGCATGCCACCATGCCTGGCTTATTGTTGAGATGGGGTATAGTTTTTTTGCCCAAGCTGGGCTCAAACTACAATACTCCAGATCTCTGCCTCCCAAGCAGCTGAAATTATAGTTATAGGCTAATGTACCCAGGCATTAAATTCTATTTTAAACCTATAACTGTTTAAGATTCACATAATTATAGTTTATTTAACCAACAGTGCAGGACAATTTTTAAAGACAAACTTAAAAACATGTATTTCTTATTTAGTTCTTGGCACCAAGTTAGAGCACAGTACAAAGTAAGCAAACAACAACAACAACAAAAACCCAACCGCATTCCAAAAGATTAAAAAGATCACAACCATTCCATCCTTTTAGATACACAGCATCATCTTTTTTTGGGTTAAATATTCCATTAAAATGTTATCCAGTTTCATATTCTTCATCATATTTTTTGGGTATCATTTGTAAGGAGCTTTCTATGTGCTGAGTAGGCTAGGCTTTGTATCAGCTTTGCACTAGTTAATATTTTAAACGTGATTATACAAAAGGAGCTTGGATTTGTAACTAACAACCCTAGATTTACATATTTCAATGTTAAAAACATTTGAATTTGAATTTACCTTGAACAAATTTGACACAATGATTGAAGAGAAACACTGGGCATATAGGTTAAGGCAGCATTGTAACACAATAAAAGGAATGTCAACACTTCAAACCTGAAGACAAATCAAAGAAACATTAACAAATCTTTAGAATTCTAAAAAGCTAACTATAATAGAGGAGAGAACAGTTTTATTCAAAGGTATTTTGTATTAGAACAGGCTTCTACAGTAATGCATACCAATAACTAAAGGGAAAAGAAGACTTGACAACTAACAAAGCCCCCTTAAATATTCAATTTCCCCTTACTTATGTAACTGTAACCCCCCTGTTCATCCCCTTAACAATAAAATTTTTAAAAATATTCAAGTTTCCAGTTGACATCTGAAGCAAATTACAGTGACAAGTCTAGATGTGTTCCTGTCCTACAAAATGACTCCGTATGCAAATAAATTGGTCCATTTAACTCATCACACACACTATTATTGTAAAGCTATTAAAATACTTTTTTAAATCAGTGTGATAGGATAGAAGTTGTATCTGCAGAATATACCTGTTCTGTGCGGTCAGCATCTCCCTCTGAGGGTGAGGCCCACTGTACACGACTTTTGACAAACCATGCTGCGACAGTGCACTCTCAGTCAGAGCCATGGAGCCAATGCTGGATGGCTAAAGAAAAAGATATTTGAAGAAAGAAAAACACAGCTATTCTGCTGAAGATGTGACATTTAAAATATACAGAGCACCAAGGATGGCTACCAGCAGCATCACACATCTTAAAAATATTCAGACTACCTAACAAAAATTTAAAACGAAACTATTAATGATCAGTAAGTTTAATTTCTTAAACTTGTACTAAGAGATTGAACAATTCATATACATATACACAGAGTCTTCTCTATCACAAAAGATAGATAAAAACATTCTAAATATTCAAAAGGGATACTTTTCTGAGATTTATTTGCAATATTTATTTGCCATCTAAAGGAATAAAACAAGGCATCTTAGGAACTCCTGTAGAGATTGACTTTATTTTTTTAAATACTGTACAGAGGAGGGGTTACAGTTACATGAGAAAGGTAATGAGTACATTTCTTATCAAGCATTGTTGCCTCTGCCTTTGTTTTTCCCCTACCATCTCTTCCTTCACATCTCTAGATACTTTCTTTGTATTGCTTTTCAAGGCAAAATTTTGCTATATAGCTCAGCTTGGCTTCACATTCACTAAGTAGTGGAGCTGGCCTTAAACTCTGGAGACTTCAGCATCCAACTACTTCATGCTAGGATTATAGGCATGTCCTCCTACACCCAGAGGGGAAAGATACTTTCAATAGTTTTCTTATCATCAAATATCAATTTAAAGTTTAATAATTTTCACTTTTCATTTCATGTGGGAAATAGTACACTTAGTGTGGTACTTCATAATTTTTGAAGTACTAATAAACTTATCCTTTTCCTTTTGCACTTCCTAATATATAGCACTATCAATGATTAGGATACAATGAACTCATTTTGATAAAATGTCACTTACTTCATGATAGACAGATGGTTTGGATAAAGATGGAATCGTAAAACTCAACACTTTGCTATGTCCCTGTTTGTCAACTATTTCCTATAAAAGTGAAAGAGAATATCTTAAAATATTTACCTTTTCACATATAATGTCACTTAAAAATTAAATTTTTTGACTAGTTTTTTAAAAAACTAGTCAAAGAACTAGGACAAAGAAATGTTAAAATCAATTTAAAATCTTAAATATACATGATCTACTATTCATTATTCATAAACACCAGTAGTTACAATGTACATTTTGTTCCACCTTTAAAATAAAGGAGAGCCTGGAGGATGTAGCTCAGTGGTATAGCATACTTTTGGGATCAGGGGATTAGTCACTAGCACTGTTTACAAAAAGAACACTGAAAGAAAACTAACATTGTTTTCAGTATGGCTTACATACAGATACACAAGCTTTTGAACCTCATGTAAAAAGTTATATTTTCTAAATTAATTAGTGATTTAAACATGAAATCTGACAAGAAAAGGATCCTAAATTTCTACTTTAGTATAAACCTTAAGTATAGGACATCATAATTAATATACAAACTACTAGTAATGCAAACTATATGTTAAACAAATGGTGCTAACTCTGGAGATAATGCAGATTTTATGGACCATGGTTGGTAAATATTAGTCTATATCTTTCCCACTAATTTTTTGTGACTATCAGAAAAAAAACTCATATATAAGTTTAAATGGACTTCAAGTTTAAAGTTTTTCAATGCTACACTGTGACTTTTCAGTTACCTTTATAAAAATATTAAAATGGTTTTGATGCTCAGCCTTCCATCAGTCTAGAAGGGTATATCTACATAATTACATGTATGCTTTTCTCCATAAACAGTATTTCCAGGAGAATGTATAGAAAACAACTATTAACTTTTACTAATATTAGCTTTACTAAAATGAAAAGCAATTGCAAATGTTATGCATTTGATTTTGTCAAAAAAACATTTTAGCACACTAAATACAAACCAAATTGTAAACTCCTAGGAGAAGAGCTTCAATGCATCCACTGCTATGCACATTTCTGCTGGCTGAGACTGCAAGGTAGCACCAAATCAGTTCTGGGAGAAACTGCAGTGTAAATCGAAGCAACTGTTCCTCTCCACTACGATAGAATTCAAAGAGCTGGTGACAGACAGGTTCTAGCAACTGGAAAAAAGACAAATTATTAATTCAAGAACTAGACTACATTTGAATGATACTGTTATATAAAATATAAAAGTTTCTCAGATTGGTAACTATTATGTAAACATTTTAATATTTTTGAATCAATCTATTCTGTGCCAAGCTATTTACAGTTTTTGACCACTGATGGGAAGACTGTGCAATATAATTACAAAAAGAAGCATCTATAAACTAAAATATTCTATGACTCTACAGAATTATTAATTTTTAAACCATGTCTTTTGTTTTGGTTTTTGGATTTTTAATTTTATTTTATTGTAAAGATGCTGTACAGTGGAGTTACATTTACATGAGTAAAGTACATTTCTCATTGAACATCATTACCAACTCCATTGTTGTTCTCCCACTATCCCTTCCCTCCCCCCACAAAGTTGTAAAGTTCATTGTCGACATAGTGTCTGTCCTGTGAGTATCATTGTTGCAATGGGTCATCTTTTGTACTTCGTTCAACAAATGCACTTTGTTATTTCCCTTCCCTTCTCCCAATCAGATAAATGCATATACAAGATGGGCGATACCAGAATCAAAGACAGAGACTGCCAGGGATAAATCAATGGAAAAAGAAAAATGAAATCAAATAAGAAGAAAGAACTAGAGGGCTGGGAAAGTGGCTCAGTGGTAGAGCTTGCCTTGCATGCCTGAGGCCCTGGGTTGGATTCCTCAGCAACACATAAGCAGAAAGAAAAAAGCCGGAAGTGGCGCTGTGGCTCAAGTGGTAGAGTGCTAACCTTGAGCTGAAGAGCTGAGGGACAATGCCCAGGCCCAGAGTTCAGGCCCTATGACCGGACCCCCCCTCAAAAAAATTACATAAAGAATAAAATCATGTTATTTACAGCTAAATGGATACAACTGGAGAGCATCATGTTGAGCAAGACAAAACAAGCTCAAAAACACAAAATTGCATATTTTAGCAATGTAGAATCTAGACCTAAAATGACAATAATAGTAATAGTATTAATGACAGAGTGTGAATGTAAAACGATATACTTGGGGAGCAAAAACCAAGTGATGAGGGCTGGGAAGGTGGCTCAGTGGTAGAGCGCTTGCCTTGCATGCGCTGGGTTCGATTCCTCAGCAACACGTAAGCAGAAAAAGCTGGAAGTGGCACTGTAGCTCAAGTGATAGAGTGCTAGACTTGAGCTGAAGAGCTGAGAGACAGCGCCCAGGCCCAGAGTTCACGCCCCACAACTGGCAAAAAAAAAAAAAAAAGTGATGAAAGAAAAGTATATATGTGAGGACCATAGTTAAAGGGAGCTAGGGAAAAAATCTGAGATAATCTTATTTTCAATTAACCACAAAAATTCAGAATTAGAGGTGTAGATGGTAGAGTACCAGATGTGAGTGAAAAAGCTGAGCGAGAATGCCCAAGACCTTGAGTTCAAGCCTAAGTACTGATACAAAATAAAAAGAAAAAAATGTTATGCATATATAAAAGATAGCAAACATTAGAAAAATCTGGGAAGCAGAGAGGAGTTTAAGGGACTATAACAGGTTAGATAACTTTTTTGTGTTCACAATGAAACCCCATCATACTATTAGTGTGCTAATAAAAATAGCTGGGCGCTGGTGGCTCACGCCTGTAATCCTAGCTACTCAGGAGGCTGAGATCTGAGGATCGCAGTCCAAAGCCAGCCCGGGCAGGAGAGACCGTGAGACTCCTATCTCCAATAAACCACCAGAAAAAAAAAACCGGAAGTGGCAGTGTAGCTCAAGTGGTAGAGCGCTCGCCTTGAGCTGAAGAGCTGAGGGACAGCGCCCAGGCCCAGAGTTCAAGCCCCACGACCGACAAAAAAAAAAAAAAAAAAAAAGTTTAAAAAGGGTTGGGAAGGTAGCTCAGTGTTAGAGTGATTGCCTTGCATGCATGAGGCCCTGGGTTGGATTCCTCAGCACCACATAAGCAGAAAAAGCTGGAAGTGGCACTGTGGCTTAAGTGGTAGAGTACTAGCCTTGAGCTGAAGAGCTGAGGGACAGCACCCAGGCCCAGAGTTCAGGCCCCACATCTGACCAAAAAAAAAAAAAAAAAAAAAAAGCTTAAACAGTCTACCTATACATTCCATTCAGTATTGTAGAGGGGGAAAAAGGCAAGCCAAATACAATTGTTTATTCCAGTTATAGTTCATTTCCTTGTCAATACAATCCCTTCAACATCTAGAATTTACAACATATTTTTAGTCTAAATAGAATCTAGCTATTTTATGCCTTCCTCCATGAGAGATTAACTACTCAAATAACAAGACCCTTGTCTGGATAGTTTTGTTCCAAAGGTACATGGATCTATTTAGGCCTGTACTCCGGGGTATATTACCTTACCATTGAATAATGAGATTAATGATATTAGAAACCATTACATCATCCACCAAACTCAACTACAAAAGTAATTGTGCAACTCAGATCCCCTCTCTCTCCATCTCTGCTCTTTCCACATTTAAGTTCTCAACATTTCTTTCCTAGACTATTATCATAGTGAGCTCTTCTTGCTTCAAAATTTTTTCATTCCTCACTCTAAAACACTAATCTACTCAAAGTATTTTTTTCAGTACAAAAAACATCCAAACAGTTTGAGAAAGAATTAGACATAGGTCTTAAACCTCTCCAACCTTATCCTTTGCTTGTGAACTATTCTATTAGTCTATTTTTCTTTTTCTAAATGTCATGTATTTTTATGTTCCATACGAATTCCTGTCCTTTTCTATATCTACTATGAAGGATGATATTTTTAAGCACCAGAATTTGTAGTATAAATTATATACCTTTAAAATATATTGAAACAAAGGAGGAGGCTACAATGCTTGATAAGAAATGTACTCATTATCTTGCCCATGCAATTGTAACCCCTCTGTACAGTATTTTCACAATAAAAAATGAATAAAAATTTTAAAAAGATTAATATCTAGGGTATACGAAAAGTTAAAAAAGTGAAACAGCAAAAGAACAAATAATCTAATTAAAATGGGCAAATTAATTGAACAAATACTTCTCAAAAGAAATACAAATTGTTAATAAATATATAAAGAAATGTTCAACACTTTTAGCTATAAGGAGATGCAAATCCACACTACACTGAGGTTCATCTTACACCAGTCAGGATGGTGTTCATCAAAACAAACAAACAAACAAGAAATGCTGGCAAGAAAAAGGGAAAAGTAAACACTGAAGGCAAGATGGTCAACTAGTCCAACCATTATGGACATTCATAAAACATAAAAATAAAAATAGACCCACATATGATCCTGTTTCAACTCTTGATCTTAATTCCAAAGCAGTGTAAATCAACATATGAGAGATACTTGCAAACTCATGCTTAATTCAGTACTGTTCACAAGAGTCAAGTTGTTAAATAGGCTTACATTCCCAACAACTGACACATGGATAAAGAAAATGTGACAAGTACTGCTAGCTCATGCCTGTAATCTGCCTATAATCCTAGCTACTCAGGAGGCTGAGATCTGAGGATTACAGTTTGAAGGCAGCCCAGGTAGGAATATCCATGAGACTCTTATCTCCAATTAACCACCAGAAAACTGGAAGTAGCACTATGGCTCAAATGGTAGAGTGCTATATCACAGGGACAGCACCCAGGCCCAGAGTTCAAGGCCCACCACAGACAAAAAATAAAATAAAATGTGGGATATGTAAATTATAAAATTATATAAAGAGGGCTGGGAAGGTGGCTCAGTGGTAGAGCGCTTGCCTTGCATGCATGAGGCCCTGAGTTCGAGTCCTCAGCAACACATAAGCAAAAAGAAAAAAGCCGGAAGTGGCACTGTGGCTCAAGTGGTAAAGTGCTAGCCTTGAGCTGAAGAGCTGAGGGATAGCGCCCAGGCCCAGAGTTCAGGCCCCACGCCCGGACCCCCCCTCAAAAAAATTACATAAAGAATAAAATCATGTTATTTACAGCTAAATGGATACAACTGGAGAGCATCATGTTGAGCAAGACAAAACAAGCTCAAAAACACAAAATTGCATATTTTAGCAATGTAGAATCTAGACCTAAAATGACAATAATAGTAATAGTATTAATGACAGAGTGTGAATGTAAAACGATATACTTGGGGAGCAAAAACCAAGTGATGAGGGCTGGGAAGGTGGCTCAGTGGTAGAGCGCTTGCCTTGCATGCGCTGGGTTCGATTCCTCAGCAACACGTAAGCAGAAAAAGCTGGAAGTGGCACTGTAGCTCAAGTGATAGAGTGCTAGACTTGAGCTGAAGAGCTGAGAGACAGCGCCCAGGCCCAGAGTTCAGGCCCCACAACTGGCAAAAAAAAAAAAAAAAGTGATGAAAGAAAAGTATATATGTGAGGACCATAGTTAAAGGGAGCTAGGGAAAAAATCTGAGATAATCTTATTTTCAATTAACCACAAAAATTCAGAATTAGAGGTGTAGATGGTAGAGTACCAGATGTGAGTGAAAAAGCTGAGCGAGAATGCCCAAGACCTTGAGTTCAAGCCTAAGTACTGATACAAAATAAAAAGAAAAAAATGTTATGCATATATAAAAGATAGCAAACATTAGAAAAATCTGGGAAGCAGAGAGGAGTTTAAGGGACTATAACAGGTTAGATAACTTTTTTGTGTTCACAATGAAACCCCATCATACTATTAGTGTGCTAATAAAAATAGCTGGGCGCTGGTGGCTCACGCCTGTAATCCTAGCTACTCAGGAGGCTGAGATCTGAGGATCGCAGTCCAAAGCCAGCCCGGGCAGGAGAGACCGTGAGACTCCTATCTCCAATAAACCACCAGAAAAAAAAAACCGGAAGTGGCAGTGTAGCTCAAGTGGTAGAGCGCTCGCCTTGAGCTGAAGAGCTGAGGGACAGCGCCCAGGCCCAGAGTTCAAGCCCCACGACCGACAAAAAAAAAAAAAAAAAAAAAGTTTAAAAAGGGTTGGGAAGGTAGCTCAGTGTTAGAGTGATTGCCTTGCATGCATGAGGCCCTGGGTTGGATTCCTCAGCACCACATAAGCAGAAAAAGCTGGAAGTGGCACTGTGGCTTAAGTGGTAGAGTACTAGCCTTGAGCTGAAGAGCTGAGGGACAGCACCCAGGCCCAGAGTTCAGGCCCCACATCTGACCAAAAAAAAAAAAAAAAAAAAAAAGCTTAAACAGTCTACCTATACATTCCATTCAGTATTGTAGAGGGGGAAAAAGGCAAGCCAAATACAATTGTTTATTCCAGTTATAGTTCATTTCCTTGTCAATACAATCCCTTCAACATCTAGAATTTACAACATATTTTTAGTCTAAATAGAATCTAGCTATTTTATGCCTTCCTCCATGAGAGATTAACTACTCAAATAACAAGACCCTTGTCTGGATAGTTTTGTTCCAAAGGTACATGGATCTATTTAGGCCTGTACTCCGGGGTATATTACCTTACCATTGAATAATGAGATTAATGATATTAGAAACCATTACATCATCCACCAAACTCAACTACAAAAGTAATTGTGCAACTCAGATCCCCTCTCTCTCCATCTCTGCTCTTTCCACATTTAAGTTCTCAACATTTCTTTCCTAGACTATTATCATAGTGAGCTCTTCTTGCTTCAAAATTTTTTCATTCCTCACTCTAAAACACTAATCTACTCAAAGTATTTTTTTCAGTACAAAAAACATCCAAACAGTTTGAGAAAGAATTAGACATAGGTCTTAAACCTCTCCAACCTTATCCTTTGCTTGTGAACTATTCTATTAGTCTATTTTTCTTTTTCTAAATGTCATGTATTTTTATGTTCCATACGAATTCCTGTCCTTTTCTATATCTACTATGAAGGATGATATTTTTAAGCACCAGAATTTGTAGTATAAATTATATACCTTTAAAATATATTGAAACAAAGGAGGAGGCTACAATGCTTGATAATAAATGTACTCATTATCTTGCCCATGTACTTGTAACCCCTCTGTACAGTATTTTCACAATAAAAATAAATTAATTAATTAAAAATATATTGGCTGTCTTTTTTTGGGGGGGGTCCGGTTGTGGGGCCTGAACTCTGGGCCTGGGCACTGTCCCTCAGCTCTTCAGCTCAAGGCTAGCGCTCTACCACTTGAGCCACAGTGCCACTTCCGACTTTTTTCTGTTTGCTTATGTGGTGCTGAGGAATCAAACCCAGGGCCGTGAGCATGCAAGGCAAGCGCTCTACCACTGAGCCACCTTCCCAGCCCATATTGGCTGTCTTAAAATGAGAAGAAGGAGGGAGAAAGGTGGCAGACAGACCAAACTATCTGCTATTCCTTATAGTCTCTATATACTATCCCTACAGCTTGGATTGTTTTGTTTTGTTTTAACTTACTACCAACAATACGTGTTTATTCATTGTCTATTCTGTGTTGCTTTAACAAATCATCACAAACTGGGTAATTTATGAACATCAGAAATGTGTTCCCTCTGTTTGACAGGCTGGCAAGTTCAAGACCAAGGGATTTCTTCCTGCATCATCCCACAGCAGAAAGTAGAAAAGCAAAAGATATAGACAGGTATAACTAAATAGTTTATATTTCACCATTACCAAAAATATCAACCAACTGAATATCACTAAAACAATAAACTATAGGAGTACTTACCTCACTTTGTGGCTCCTGGATAACTTTATAGAGAGATGAAACTAAAGAATTCTTGTCTTTCAGATTTGTAGCATAATTTTGTAAAGATGTTTCTGGTAGTGTCTAAACAAATTTAAAAATTACATTTATTTTTATGAACTTCCAAAATATACAGTCATACAGATATGTCGGAGACTGACTGTGTAAGGAAAGATTGGGAATAATTAAGAGTTAAGGAGTTTCATTCTCTCTTGCTTGTCTTTTCCTTCCTTCCTTCCCTCCTTCCTTTCTTCTTTCTTTCCTCCCTCCCTCCCTTCTCCCCCCCCCCCTCTCGTGCCAGTTCTGGGGCTTAAACTCTGGGCCTAGGCACTGTCTCTGAGACTTCCAACCTTCTTGATAGTTAACTGAAGCTAAGAGTCTTCTAGGCTTTCCTGCCTGGCCTGGCTTCAAACTGATCCTCAGATCTCAGCCCCCTAAGTAGTTAGCATTACAGGAGTGAGCCACCAGTGCCAGCAAAGGAGTTTCTAAGTGTTGGAAATGTTTTGGAATTGGATGCAATACTGTGAATATACAAAAACCATGTTGACTAAAAATAGTGAATTCAATGTGATATGAATTAGATCTCAGCAAAAATTTAAAATAAAAATTAAAATATATCTCATACTTTTATCTTCAAAAGGGACAAAAATCAACATAAAAATTTCATCTTTAATCACAGTTTGGGATTAGAAATGACACATGAGTCACACTGGGACCAGTGACTAAGGTCTGTAATCCTCAGGAAGCTGAGATTTGAGGATGGAAGTTCAGAGCCCACTGGGTCAAATATATGAGACTTTCATCTCCAATTAACCACCAAAAGCTGAACATTAAGATATGGTTCAAGTGATAGAGCACAAGACTTCAAGCTCCTATTCTAACCAAAACAGAAATAAAAAAATAAAGGAAGGAAGGAGGGAAGGAGGGAAAGAGGGAAGGAGGGAAGGAGGAAAGGAAGGAAGAAAGGAAGGAAGGAAGGAAGGAAGGAAAGAAGGAAAAGAATACATAAATCATGTCTAATGCTAGAGATTTATTTTTGTAGAATCATGAGTAATAAATCTTGTTAGCTATATTGATGCTGCTTATTATATGAAGATCCAATAATGCTTCTAACTTAAAAGCCACAGGAGATCACCCGATCAATAACTCTGAGTTCCATATTAACTGTAAAGCCTGATAAGGTTACTTATCCTATGAACTGGGCAAAAAACAAACTTTCTCAGAACTGGAAAAAATTATATCCACATTACCAACAAACTAGTTCTCCAACTATCATTTTAAATACAGACAGTAAAGCTTGCCAGCACCACCTAGCTAGGCAGAAAACTATGACCAGAGAGGACTGGAAAGATACAGCTTTGGGTGGAAAAAAAAAGCAGTAAACTAATTTTTTTAAATCATCATCATCATCATCATCGCCTATCCTTCTAAAGCATACCTCTTGTATAAGGATATCTGTCTCGTAAGTCATTTTTCTTTCTCACCCGGATTCCTTCCTGCCTTTAATCAACATCATATTTCAAGATATTCCTCAGTCACTATTTCTTATTTAGCTTATAACCTATTATTTCATCAGTTAATATGGGTTTTGTGCATAAGTAGGCATAAAGAAATAAACTATGAAAAATTTTATAATAAGGATATTTGATACATTTTTACTTTGCTGTGAGCTGCTAGGGGTGCAGAGCTATCTTATCACCTCTCCATCCACATCACCCAGCAAAAGCCTCACACTCAAACCTTTGCTGAGGAAGCATATTACAAGGAAGAGAACAAGAAATAAAAACTGCCACTGTTTGCACTCCAGAAGATTTCTTAAAAATAAGTCATAATTTACTTTAGGTTATGTAAGAGAATAGATTTTTCTAACGTAAGAGAGTTCTGTTTGCCAGAATAGTAAGTAAATGGGAACCTTTCCCCATTCTCCAGAACAAAAAAGTATGTTCACGGCACTGTTTACATAGAGAAGAGATTAAAGCATTCTTCAATATTTCAAAAGCAAGTAACAGAAGATCTCCAGGCAACATTCCATTTCTGTTATTTGATCAAGAGTAATGTAATACTGGGGAAATTTATATAAAAGGGAGTAGTAGTCAAGAACAGATTTCTAATCCCTTGAATATAAATGAATCTAAATTATATGCATAAAATATATACTCTACATAACACATTAAACATCTAATATATAGAGAATGATGCATATATCTGCAAAATTTAAGAATAAGTAAATTCAAGTAAAAATCTTTAAAAATTTACAAGTAAAATAGCCAAGGGCAAAAAGACAGCTCTTTTTGAAAAGTCAAGAACTAGAAACTATCCAGGACTGAGTCTACTATAGCTAAATGAGAGGAAGAGTATCTTTAAAAATCAGTACAGTGACTATTACATTTTAATCATAATTTCAAGTTATGGATGTGAAATATATCACTTTTGTCTGTAGATGGGGAGGGGATATAGCTATTATGTTTACAAATGGTGCTTTGAAAATACTTAAGATCTAAAAGGGCCAAAGAAAATTAAGTACTGTTTAAATTTCCACTAGTATGTTAGTAGTATATTAATTCTAAGATATTGACCTTAATTACCAGCTACAGTTTCTCAGGCTTTAGAGGCTGAAGTGGAGATAAAAAGTAATAATGGAAAATTGTGTTGAAATGTTCTTGGAAAAAATTGAAGATGGATGTTTCACACTGAAGTATCATTTGGACAGATGGATTTTCAAAAATGTAAGGTGATATAGGTTGCATGAAAGAGAATTAATGAAGATGGATGAAAAACCAATAAGTAAGACAGACCTGTTCAACAATATCATACATAAGACTGGATTTTAAGTAACATATTGCAACACAGTGACTACAAGAAAATGAAAAAGTAGGCATCTAGACATCTGTTAGATAAATGTGTACACAGCATTAAGAAAAACATGAAACAATCTAAAAGTTAATATTGTACAACTGAGTCATTGAAAAAATAGATATTACTAATAAAATCTTAAATATTAATCACTGTTGACAGATAAGGTAAACAGTAATTGAAAAAACTAACTAGTTAGAGAATGAATAGCTTTTCTAAGGGCAAATTTTTTAAATTTTTTAAATTTGCACAAAGAAAATTATATTGTTTTTGTGTTTTTGAGAGATTGTTGAGTAATATTATGAGGTTCAGAGTTCAAACTGTGACCACAGAACAATGTAAAGATAAAATCAACTTCAATTTCAATTTTTTCTGAAGGTACTGAGGCCTGGAGAGCCTATACAATTTGCCCAAAGCCAAAAAACTAAAACAACCTAGTAGGAGAGTCAGGATTCAGAGGTAGCTGACTCTTACCTGCTTAACTGATCATGATGATCTTGTCTTTATTAGCACCATAGTTATATTAAACCAAACAGACCTTTGTAAAAGTATGTACATATCTCAAAACTTCCTTTCTTAAACTTTGTAACTATGTATTATTTTAACATCATGATATTTTCAAAAGACAACATACTCTAATTTCCAAAGTACTTGACCAGATTTGTTCTCAAGCTTTTTTCTACCTTATGTTACCTCTGGTATATTGCTGATTTAGCCTAGATAATCTTGTTCTCTTTATTAAGCACATAGCTGAATTTAACTCATATTAACATGAATCAAAATTAACATTCAAAATCATTTTCATGAAGGCCTACCAAACTAACCAAGAAATAGGAAGTACCTTGCCTGGAGCTAGTTACTTCATGATAACTTATAGAATACACAGAAATATGCTCAATTCATGATTAATAAAAGCTGAGAAAGCTAAAATCTACCTAACCTAGAAAATATTGCCTCTACTAAGGACATACTCCAACTAAAAAATTTCATAACCACCTCTTTTATTTTTTTTAGAGAAACTACTATATTCTTTTTCACTAAGAAGACTTGTTCTCTAAAATCATAGATTATCAAAATTTTGTTGTTTGAACATGTATCAGTAAGAATGAAACACTCAATTTGTCTGCAGACTCTAAGTCATTCTGACATAGACAAGAGGTTTTGGTTTCCATTATAACTACAAGGGGTTCAGATAAAGGGTTTCTGAACACAAATTCCAAATCCGTGTTACCTTTATATTTTCAGGACAATAGGATCCAGGGTCCTCTTTAAAGTTTACCCCATTACATACAGCTCTGCTTTGTTTTGAGTACTATCCTTCCAAAAGCAGTACTAACTTTCTCTTTTGTCTGATGAGATATACCCATTACAACTGTTGTATGAAGTCTCTCTTATTTTATCAAACCTGTAAATTTGATACTATGCTGGATGTTTGTCCCCAATATCTTAGATTGATTGGACCAGACAAAATCAAAGTGACATTTGCTGCCCATTTCTTTTTTGTGGGTGTGAAAATACCGCATAGAGGGGTTAGGAAGGGGAAACAAAGGAGCTTGCTGCCCATTTCTTAACTTCTGTGGTCTATGATCACGAATTTCCCCTAATTACATGTCACCATAAGAACAGAAAAAAATGAATTGGTTGGTTTAAGAAATACAATTTTAACTATCATAGAGAATTAATGAGAAAAAGGCATATAAATTTTACTTTGTCAGCATTGAATCAAAGGTTCTATATAAATAATATAACTATTGAGGTAACCAATGAAAGACTCATGAGTAAAAAGTTGGGCAGATATCTTTCCATCATCTCCTCATTGTTAATCATGGCCAGTTCCATTGCCCTTACTCCCACTCTGGGAAGGATATTTTGACAATAAATCATTGATCATCATTAGAGAGTGACATCAACATTCATAACGATTCTTGGTGGTGGTGCCCAGAGAGAGAGAATAAACAAACTAATGAATGAACCCTTTGAACAATTTGGAAGAACAAGGAATTAATTTACTAGAAATGATTACTAAAATAGATCCTCATTCAGATATATTAGAACATTCTTCTTTTACAGCTAGTTTTTCAGTCATAAAATTTTGAAACAACTTTCTTTAGAGTACAATTATTAAAGCAAGTCAATATTACCTTATACTCTGATAACCATTCCTCCACAATCCCTTTCTCTGAAGTGAACATCTTTCCACATCTGTTCCAAACCTTCAACCTGAAAATTACCATAGAAAAATATTACAAATCTGAATATATTTTATTTATGATCAGATAACTATGTATAGAAGTACTCTTTGAAGTTATCTTTTATTTTGAAATTGACATATTTTCCAATATAAATTACTCATTCATTTTAAAACCAGTGAGTACAAACAAGTCTTAAATAAAAGAATTTTAACATGCATGTGTGTGTGCCTGTGCTGGGACTTTAACTTGGGGCCTAGGTGCTATCCTTGAGCTTTTATGCTTGATTAGCTCTCTACCACTAGAGTCATAGCTTCACTTTCAATTTTTGGTGGTTAATCAGAGATAAGAATCTCAAGCCCGCACCAGTGGCTCATGCCTGTAATCCTAGCTCTTCAGGAGACTGAGATCTGAGGATCTCAGTTCAAAGCCAGCCCAGGGAAGGAAAGTCCTTGAGACTCTTATTTCCAATAAACCACTAGAAAACCAGAAGTGGTGCTGTACTTCAAGCGGTAGAGTGCTCACCTTGAGCTGAAGAGCTGAGGGACAGCACCTAGGCCCAGAGTTCAAGTCTCACAACACACACACACACACACACACACACACACACACATACAAATCTCACTCTTTTCTGCCTGGGCTGGCTTCAAACCTCAATCCTCCTCCAATCTCAGCCTCCTGAGTAGCTAGGATTACAGATGTGAGCCACTGGCACCCAGTCTTAAAAACAAGAATTTTAACAAAATTATAAATATAGTATGATGAAAGTAGCTCAAAATTTTTCATTCAACTCTCAGGAATGCCAGTTAAAACACACAATGAAAATTTACCACACTTTTAATTAAATAATTTCAAAGAGATCATTCATAGTAAATTTTCATAAGACATTCAGAAACAATGCAAATATAAAAAGAGATTCACTCAAAATTAGCCTAAGAGTATTGGCATTAAAATGACTTAAATTTATTTTCCAGTTCTTTACTTTGACAGTTATCAAGGCTAGCCACTTGCCTTGCTAGATTAATATTAGTTTTTAAAAAGTAAAAGAGACAATACCTAGGATACTGATTCTATTCAACAATATTTATTCAGAGGGCTGGTCTTTCCTTAAATATAAACATGAAATAAAAGCAAGCTAAACGAAATATACAGCATTTCTTTTTTTATTATTATTGTGAAAATACTATACAGAGGGGTTACAATTACATGGGTAAGGTAATGAATACATTTCTTATCAAGCATTGTCTCCTACTTTGTTTCCCCTTCCCATCTCCCTTCCAACCCCCCTTGTGCTCCCCCTTGTCCCCCACCAAAGTTGTAAAGTTTATTTTTCAACATAACATCTTGTACATCTCAATGTTGCAATGGGTCCACCTGTATCCCTATTTAAATAATTTGTTTTTTCCCTTCTCCTCGACAAATTATACCAACATCAAATACAGTGAAAACTGGGGTTATACCATGGGGGAGGGACATACAAAGCAACAGAGAAATAATCTTATAAATATGTTAGACATGATTGCAAGAGAGAAACAAACATTTGAATCCTTATCTTGGGGTTCATTTCACCTAACATCAACTTATATGACCTTTTCTGCTTGTCTCAGACATATACTAGTTATTGCAAATAAGGGAAACCATGGGACCTTTGTTCCTTTGGGCCTGGCTTACTTCATTTAATATAATTTTTTCTAAGTCATTCCATTTCCTAACAAATGGGGTAATGTCATTCTTTCTGATGGAGGCATAGAATTCCATTGTGTATATAGATCACATTTTTTGATCCATTCATCTACTGAGGGGCATCTGGGTTGGTTGCATATCTTAGCTATGGTAAATAATGCTTCAGTAAGTATAGTTGTGTTGATAGCTTTAGTATGGTCTTGTTTGTGATCATTTCGGTAAATGCCCAAAAGTGGGATTGCTGGGTAATAGGGGAGCTCTATATGGAGTCTTTTGAGGAACCTCCATACTACTTTCCAAAGTGGTTGAACAAGTTTACACTCCTACCAACAATGCAGTAAGGTTCCCTTCTGTCCACATGCCCTCCAGCATCTGTTGTTATTAGAGTTCTTGATTATAGCCATTCTAACTGGGGTCAGGTGGTATCTCAATGTTGTTTT